TGTCTTTTCGAAAATGTTGGCTGGTGATAAGGGTTAATTTTATTATTATTATTTTCATTTTGTTATGATTTACTGAGCTTATGAATTTTGTACTCTTGTCGACTTTTATTTTTTATTTTTCTCCTGTCAGCTTTCGTTAACTGTTTTCTCTATTCCTCCTCCTCTTCCTCCATTTCATCCTCCTTCTCATTTTCCTCCATTTTCTCCTCCTACTCCTCTTCTTCCTCTTTTCTCCTGTCAGTTTTCGTTAACTTTTTTCTCTATTCCTCCATTTCATCCTCCTTCTCATTTTCCTCCATTTTCTCCTCCTACTCCTCTTCTTCTTCCTTCTCCTCTCTTCCTCTTATTCCATTTCCTCCCCCATTTCCTCCACCTCTCCCTCTTCCCCCTTTTCCTCCTCATTCTTCTTTTCCTCTTCCTCCAACTCCTTCCCCTTCTCCTACTCCTTCTCTTCCTCCTCCTCCTTCAGAACCAGAATTGCCTTCTGTTGGTGACTGATTCCATTACCGTTATTTTTATCTATTACTGTTCTTGGCGCTATTGGCAATGTTGATGTCATTGTTATTGTTGTTATCTTCACCATCATCATCATTGTTATTTTTGTTATTTCCACCATCATCATTATTATTGTTATCTCCACTGTCACCATTGTTATCTTCACTAACATCATCATTGTTATTATTGTTATTTTCACCATCATCATGATTGTTATTATTGTTATATTATTATCATGATTGTTATTGTCATTGACACTATGAACAACAGTAGCAATATCATTGTTATTATCATCATCATATGTTTCTATTATAATTTATTAATTGCTGGAAAGTTTGATCATTATTTACATAACTTCCATTGTCGTATGTCTTTGATTTCTTCTATCTCTTTTCTTTTTTCTTTTCATTTTCTACTTCTGTTTCTGTCTTCTCCCCCATCTGTTTCTTTTAATTATCTTCTTTTTCTTTTCTTCTTATTTATTTCTACTTCTTTCTTCTTCTTTCTTCTTCATCCTGTCTCCTGTTTCACTCTCTTTTTCTTTTTCCCATCTTCCTTCTTCCCATTCCTTCTTACCCTTTATCCCATCATTCCTCATTTCTCCCATTCCTCATCGATGTCCCAATAACAATTAAGATAATTCCCTTCATCCATACCATTATAATTAGACACCATAAATCATAATGACATTCGCCTTTATCAACAACACGACTGTCATAAAAAAAGTCGTAATTTCTACCTCTTTATCCGATAAGAGGAACCACTTAAATTCGAGTAATGTTGGTTGTCAAGACGAAGAGAGGGAGGGAGGGAGGAGGAGGAGAAAGAGGAGAGGGACAGAGAGAGGACAAGAGAGAGGGGGGGAGGAGGGAAAGGGAGAGGAGAGAGGAGAGGGAGGGAGGGAGGAGAGAAGAGGAAAGAGAGAGACAGACAGGAGAAGGGGAGGAGGGAGAAGGAGGGAGAAGAGGAGAGAGAGAGGACAGAGAGAGGAGGGAGGGAAGGAGGGAAGAGAGAGGGACAGAGAGAGGGAAAGGGAGGGAGGAGGAGGAAAGAGAGAGAGAGAGGACAGAGAGAGGGAGGAGGGGAGGGAGAAAGAGGACAGAGAGAGGGAGGGAGGAGGGAGGGAGGGAGAAGAGAGAGGAGAGAGGGACAGAAGAGGGGAAGAGGGAGAGAGGGAGGGAGAAAGACGGGAGAGGGGAGGGAGGAGAGAGGAGGAAGGAGGGAGAGAGAGGGACAGAGAGAAGGAAGGGAGGAGAGAGGGATTGTTGAAGGTACTTTAAGTGATGGACAGCTGATGACTTTTCTTTCCAGACACTTTCTAAGATTAGGGAAGAGAGAAGAGAGAGTAGGAGGAAGGGGGAGGGGAGCGTGGGAGGAAAGGGAGGTAGAGAGAGAGAGAGTAGGAACAGGAGAGAAAAAGAGAGGGAGCGGAGGAAGGGAGGGAGTAGTAGGAAAGAAAGAGAAAGAGAGAAGAAGAGAGAGAGAGAGAGAGAGAGAGAGAGAGAGAGAGAGAGGAGAGAGAGAGAGAGAGAGAGAGAGAGAGAGAGAGAGAGAGAGAGAGAGAGAGAGAGAGAGAGAAGAGGGAGGATGTCGAGAGAAATGTTTGTTCTTTCTTCCCTATCCCACGTATCTTCACTGTGCTCTACCTCCTTTTTATCTTATCTCTTTTACTCTCTCTCTCTCTCCCCTTCCTTTCTTTATTTATTATTTTTCTCCCCCCAACCCTCTCTAATTTTTTCTCTATATCCCCCCTCTATCTATCTATCTCTGTCTCTTTCCTTCTATTCCCCATTCTATTTTCTCTCCATGTTTTTCCTTTTCTTTCTTTCGTTATTTCTCTTGCAAACTTCGTAGGTAATTTCCAGCAACTTTTGGCGTAACATATTGTTTTCTGAAGTAATTTATTTCCATTTTCAGACTTCTCTTTAAGTTGCTTGTGTTTCTGTAATCTCTTTGTTTCATAAAATTTTGTATGATCTTACAACTTTGTAATTTATTTGTATGTACTCACACACACAAACACGCACAGACACACACACACACACACACACACACACACACACACACACACATACACAGACGCAAACGCACACACACACAGAAAAAAACAAAGACTATAACAAAAAACAACACTATGATAACAGTTACAACAACTTTTAGCCCGTAATCACAAATATCACCCCCCCCCATTCTAACTCCTTCCCTACCCCTTTCCTTCTCCATCACACTCCACACACCCTCTTTTTCCACTTCCTCCGTCCCCACTCCCTCCCTCACTTTCCTCCTCCACCCTTCCTTCTCAATTCCTCTCGTCCCCACCCCATCCATCCTATCCTCCCTTCCCCATCCTTACCCCTTCCCTCGCCCTCCCCATTTCCCACCACCATCCTCCACTCTATTAAAAGCTCCTCTATTCTCTCCAATTCTCTCTCTCTCTCTCTCGTTCTTCTCCCTCCCCATCCCTAACTCCCTCTCCTCATTCTCTCACCTTCCCCACTCCCCATCCCTCCCACCACCCTTAAAATGTTTTCAAAATCTCCCTCATTTCTCCCTCCCTCCTCCTCCCCAACCTTTTCCCTCACCCTCTCCCCATCCCTCCCACCCACCCCCAAAACGCATTCAAACCTCCCTCATTCTCCCTTTCTCTCTCTCTCTCTCTTCCCCCATTCATCCCCATCCTCCTCTCCCCGCCCACAGTTCCGCCTCTTCCCCTTCGGCATCGTGCTTGGCCCGGAGCTCAAGATCAGACTGGCTGGGGAGAGGATCCTTCAGATGCTGGGGAAGGAGATGCTGGAGTCTGACTTCCTCGACCACTTCACCATCCAGAGGCCCCACGTGAAGCTGACTTGGGAGTCGGTCGGTATAGCTGGTTGTTCGTTTATTAGGGGTATTTGTTTATTTTGTTTATCCTGTTGTCTTGTTTGTGTTTAAATCGTGTATGTGCGTAAGGAAGGAGAGGAGAGAGGGAGAGGGAGAGGGAGAGGGAGAGGGAGAGGAGAGGAGAGAAGGAGAAGGAGAAGGAGAAGAGAAGGAGAGGGAGAGGGAGAGGAGAGAGGAGAGGAGAGGAGAGGAGAGGGAGAGGGAGAGAGAGAGGAGAGAGAGAGAGAGAGAAGAGAGAGAGAAGAGAGAAGAGAGGAGAGAGAAGAGAGGAGAGAGCAGATACAGATATATCAACTAATGTTATTCACCTATATGTGTTTACATATCTCTCATTCTCTCATTCTCGACCCTCAACCACCTCTTTCTCTCTCTTCGTTTATACACCACTCATACAACTCATAATCGTAAACAAGAACTACATATCTCAGAGAACAAAACTATTTCTCGCACTTTACCCTTGCAATCACCCTGACATTTATAAGCACTAACACTGATGACATGGCGTTGAAATATGCCATTTGTATTACTCTTAATATTTGCCTTGTCATTATGGTATAAATTCGTGACAAAGACGACGAAGCTCAGGTAGTAATTGTGAATTTAATGAGGATAATTATGCTAATGTTAGTTTTTATTAGTTCGTATTTTAATGAGTTTGAAAGCAGATAGCTATAGCGGAAGGAACTTCAGATATTAAAGCAATATATTGGCAGATAGATATGTAGGTACATTGATAGGTAGGTAGGAAGATAAATATAGATAGATAGATTGATGGATAGAGACATAAAGAAACAGATAGACGGATGGATAGATAGATAGATTGCTATATAGGTAGGTAGGTAGGTATGCAGGTAGTTAGAGAGATAGATAGATTGATAGTTAAATGGATAGATAAGTAGATAGGCAGATAGACATAGTTACATGTAGACAGATAGATAGATGTAGATTGTTATAGATATAGATAAAAAAAATGATAGACAGATAAGAAAGATAAAGAGAGAGATAAAAAGATTTATTGATTAATAAAAAACATACGGATAGATGGATAAATAAAAGGATAGATAGATAGACAGATAGACAGATGTATAGACAGACAGATAGATAGTGAGAGAGAGAACCAGATAGATATATATATATATATATATATATATATATATATATATATATTATATATATATATATAAATGAAGAACAATAAAGCTAGGCATATATAGATAGGTAAAACAGACTAGAGACAATTATATAGATAACTAGAAGATAGATGTAGATAGGTAGATAGACATAGATGAGTAGATAGATATATAAGATAATAGATAGTAGATGTAGATAATACATAGATAGATATACAGTAGTAGATGTAGGAGAGAGAGAGAGAGAGAGAGAGAGAGAGAGAGAGAGAGAGAGAGAGAGAGAGAGAGAGAGAGAGAGAGAGAGAGAGAGAGAGAGAGAGAGAGAGAGAGAGAGAGAGAGAGAGAGAGAGAGTGAAAGAGAGAGAGAGAGAGAGTGAAAGAGAGAGAGAGAGAGAGGAAGGAAGAAGTAGATAGATAGATTTAGATAAGTAGATATATATATTTGCTTATATACTGAGACATTCACACATCATTTACCCTTTCCACAGCCGTTCGCAAATCGTACAATAAGTCATTTTTACTTCGGTCAATTTATCGAGGGATTTGTCAAGCTCACCGAGTTTGTGGAATATTCGATGTTTCTTTCCTTCCTTCCTTCCTCTTCCATCTTTCTTTTATTTTGTTATTTTATTTTCTCTTTCTTTCTTATTTCTATCTGTATGTTTCTTACATTTTTTTTTTCTGTTCCTTTTCTTTCTTTTTTTTTCTATTTCTCTCTTTTCTCCCTCTCTCTCTCCCTTCTCCTCCCACTCTCTTTCCTTTCCCTTTACCCTCTCCTTCCTCCTTCTTCTCCTGCTCCCTCCCATCCCTCCACTCCTCTATCCACCTTCTCCCCTCTCCCTCTCTCTCTCCTCCTCCCCCTCCTCCCTCTCCCCTCCTCTCCTCCCCCTCCTCTCCCCCTCTCCTCCTCTCTCCCTCTCTCCCTCCCTCCTCTCCCCACTCTTCCCTCCTCCTTCCCTCCTCCTCTCTCTCTCCCCCTTTCTCTCCCTCTCCCTCCCTCTCTTCCTCCCCCTTCCTCCCTTTCTCTCCCTCCTTCTCCTCTCCTCTCCCTCCCTTGCAGATGATAATGTTCCAGAGCGTGACCTGGGAAGTGGAGTCCAAGAAACTACCGAAGATCAACACCACGAACGTCATGATGCCCGACGGAAGTTACAAATCCAACACCCTTTCCTGTGTCAACGATATGTAAGTGTTTTTTTTCGGAAAAGCTTTTTTTTTTTTTTTTTTTTTTTAAGGTTTTTTTTTTGTATAGTTTGGGAGTGAAGGAAGAGGAGACGTGTTTGTGTGTGTGTGGGTTTATGTGTGTGTGCGTGTGTGTGTGTGTATGTGTGTGCGTGTGTTTGTGCGTGTGTGCGTGTGTGTGTGTGTGTGTGTGTGTGTGTGTGTGTGTGTGTGTGTGTGTGTGTGTGTGTGTGTGTGGTTGTGTGTGCTTATGGCTGCGCGCGCGCGCGCGTGTGTGTGTGTGTGCGTGTGTGCTTATGGCTGTGCGCGTGTGTGTGCGTGTTTATACGTCTGCACTTGTATGCGTACATCTGCAAGCCTATCTCCATGCGTGTGCATTCATCTGCATTTGTGTACGAATATGAATTAGGATTCTATGCACAGATGATGTGTGCTGTAACGAACAAGCAGAAAAGACAAAAGAAAGAGAGAGAAGGACAGAAAATGGATGCAAATGTTTGGCTGAAATTTTCTCCTTCTCTTCCCCTCAAACGAGCAATATCTCTTGCATATTTCTGCAGTTATTGCACTCTGCTGAGAGAGCACAGTCTCCCCGAACGGCTATTATCGACTGTGCTGGAAAAGAGATAAAATCTGAAGGCAAACGTTGGCAGTATTTCACAAAAAAAATTATTTTCAACATCGACAAAAATGGGTAGAAAGTTTGCACATATCAGGAAAATCAAATTAATGAAACTGATCTATAGATTCACTCGTATTTTTGTCAATTCGTCCAAAGCTAAAAAAAAAAAAAAAAAAAAAAAAAAAAAAAAAAAAAAAAAAAAATAAAATAATCATTCATTATTTGCTTATTTTTTTCCCCGAGAGAAAGAGAGGAAAAATAATTAATTACTCTTCAGACGGGTGGGCAGATATTGGTTCATTCCCTTCATTATTAAATTATTTATTTATTATTTATTCCCTTCATTATGAAATTCTCGTTTTGGAAACAACAACCAACGTCAGTTTAGAAAATCTATTCAACAAATATAATTTAAAGGAATCTGTTTTTTTTTTTTTATTATGTTATTAATCATGAATCCTCATTAAATTAATGTTTCTCTTTTTTATTGATTTTATACACACTTTATGATTGATATAGACTTTAAAGACAAGATTTTAAAGTGATAATAATATGTACTTTTAAAGTTAGAAAAAGATCGAATACGGTTTTTTGAAATATATAGTTTTTTTTCCCCACTTTATTGTAGCTTTCATATCGAGGTAAACCTTTCACTACAAAGTCTTGCAAATGTTATCAACGATATAAAGTTAAAAAAAAGGACGCAAAATTTCAACACAGAATTTAGACAAAGTTATAAAAACGGCAAAGCAAAAGATAACGTTATAAACACTGTGATAGTTACGACAAAAAAAAAAAAAAAAAAAAAAAAAACGTTATAAACACTGTGATAGTTTTGTTTAACATTTTTCTACGTTATAATACTTCGGTGTGCAGCCGTGATGCATTTTCTTGAGTTTATCTTTTTAAATAAATGTTAATTTATGTTTATTATCCCCATGCTTGCAATTCCATCCGCTAGATGTCAGGAGGGAGCGAGTGACTACAAGTAGGTCATTTTTGGGTGTCTGTTTGTCACGCTGCTATCCCTTGTTAGTTGCAGAGATAGTGTGTGCGTTATATGTATATCTATGTGTGAGTATATATATATATATATATATATATATAATATATATATATATATATATATATATATATATATATAACACACACACAGATATACATCATATACGTTTAGATATGAGAACTCGGTTGCATAGATATCCCCCAAAATAAACCTAGTCGCATAGATAGACCAATTTAAACGTGCATAAAAAAACCTTTTTAAAAAAAACCCTGCATATACAATACATAAACTTGGGCATCCTCTATTGCATGCCTTTTGAGTGGCTTGCCTTGCATCCCTCCCTGCCATGCTCTGCTTCCAACAGAAAGTCTCTGCTGCGGATTTTTCTGTTGGCAAAGGTTTGTTGTGTAAGGCGTCGTATGTGCACGTAGTTTTGTGTACGTGTGCGGGAGGTGTATTGAGGAATTTTGTGTGTGTGGCGAGGGAATGAGGGTGAGGGAAAGGAATGCAGTGAGAGAGAGAGAGACAGAGAGGGAAGGAGGGGGAGGGAGGGAGGGGGAGAGGGGAGAGAGAGAGATATAGAGAAAGGAGGGAAGAGAGAGGAGAGAGAGAGAGAGAGAGAGAGAGAGAGAGGAGAGAGAGAGAGAAGAGAGAGAGAGAGAGAGAGAAGAGAGAGAGAGAAGGAGAGAGAGAGAGAGAGGAGAGAGAGAGAGAGAGAGAGAGAGCGAGAAAGAGAGAGAGGGGAGAGAAAGAGAGAGAGAGGAAGACAAAAACAAAGAGAAAAAGAAAAAGAGTAGGAATACTAACGAGAAAAATATAGACACACACACACACACACACACACACACACACACACAGAACCAACAGTAATAAAACGAAAACCCCACCTTAGCATCCCAGAAATGCCAGCAACCCCCTACTCTCCCCCAACCCCACCCCCACCCACCCTTAGGCTCTTACAAGATTTTTTTTTTTTTTTTTTTTTTTTTTGCCTGGCATGTGCATTGATACGGTTGCAATGTTGTTTGGTTGCCCTACATTTTCATCCATGTTTATTCGCCTTGCCAATGTGTGAAGGTATGTGCGTTATGGTGGATGTATACTGCGATTTTTATTTTTGTTTTTCTTCTTCTTCTTCTTCTTCTTCTTGTTTGGCTACTCTGTTTATCTTTCTGTTTAGTGGATAGATAGATTGGTAGATTATATGTAAGATTTTTTTTTTTTTTTTTTTTTTGAGAAAACTAATTATTTATTGTTTCCTCTTCCCTTGTCTTTCTTCTTTTTTTCTTTCTTTCTTTCACTTCCCGTCTTTCTACTTCTTCTCTTTCTGTCTGTCCTGTCTGCCTCTCTCTACCTCTCTCTCGTCTCTCTCTCATCTCTCTCCTCTCTCTCTCTCTCTCTCTCTCTCTCTCTCTCCTCCTCTCCCTCTCTCTCCTCTCTCTCCTCCCTCCCTCCCTGTCTCCGCCCTCCCTCTCGGTCCCTCTCCCTCCCGCCGTCCTCCCTCCCTCCCTCCCTCTCCCTCCCTCACCCTCTTCTCTCCCTCCCCTCCCTCCCTCTCTCTCTCCTCCTCCTCCCTCCATCCCTCTCTTCCCCCCTTCCGCTCCCCCCGCCCTTTCTCTCTTCCTCTCCTCTCACACCCCCCCCCCTCCAGGCCACCCGCCGAGGATCCAGCCAAGCTCCCTGGACAGGCGAGAGGTCGTCCTTGGAGTCGTCTCGTGGGCTCCTCCTCAAGGGACAGATGTACATCCTCAAGGAGTCTAACGTCGCCCTCTTCCTCTGTATACCGCTGTGAGTGTCTGTTTTTTTGTTTGTTTGTTTGTTTGTTTCTTTGTTTGTTTGTTTGTTTGTGGGACGATTTTGTTTATGTAATATTTATTGTTTTTTGTTTGTTTTGTTTGTGGGACGATATGTTTATGTAATTATTTATTTGTTTATTTGTTTGTTTTTTTTTGTTTCTTTGTTTGGTTTGTTTGTGGGGTGAGTCTTTTTTTTTGTTTGTTTGTTTTGTTTGTTTGTTTGTGGGACGATATGTTTATGTAATTATTTATCTGTTTAATTTGTTTGTTTGTTTGTTATGTGTGGTTATATGTTTATGTAATTATTTATCTGTTTATTTTTTTTTATTTTTTGTTTCTTTGTTTGTTTGTTTGTGGGGTGAGTCTGCTTTTTTTTCTTTGTTTGTTTCTTGGTTTGTGGGACGATATGTTTATGTAATTATTTATCTGTTTATTTGTTTGTTTGTTGTTTGTATGTGTTCGTTCGTTCTTTTATTCTCTCATTTATTAATTTATTCATTCACTCACTCATTCATCTCTTAATTCGTACTTTTACTTGTTCATTCATTCATTGTGATTAAAAATTCACTCATCCGTTTCCTCATTCATCCATCCATCCACTCATCAGTTCACTCATCCATTTATACAGTCACCTATTCGCTAATTCTTTAATTTGTTAATTTACTCTCACTCATTCATTCATTCCTCATTCACTTCTCATTCATTCATTCCTCATTCAGTCCCTCATTCACTCATTCATTCATTTTCTCATTCACTCACTCATTTCATTCACTTCCTCATTCAGTCAACTCATTCACTCACTCATCCCTCATTCACTCATTCATTCACTCATTCCCTCATTCACTCATTCATTAATTCATTATTCATCTTCTCCATTCCTTCATTCCTGAACGTATTGACTAAAATCTTAATTTATTCATCCATTCAATTAGTAATAAATAATACTAATAGTCTATAATAGTGAAATGAGTGTAAATATTCGCTTTAAAATGATGCAGCAACAGGAAATATTTCGTTTGTTGTTTTGACGTATAGTGAGAAGAGGGACGGATATAATAAACAATAAATCATGGTGCAAAAGGACGTTAGTGTGATAAATGATAAAAGGTATATAAGAAAAAAAAAGATGGGTTTGGAGGCTTGGGTTTGAGAGACAATTTTGATAAAAGATAAAGAGACAGATTAAGAATTAAGCTTTAGATTGGAAGGTCGGGATCGAGATAAAATTTGGAGAATAGATGAGATATATACAAAAGAAAAGCGTAGATTTTTTAATTGGGTTCGAGATGTAAATGAAATAAGAGATGTAGATTTACAAAAGAAAGTAAAACAAGAGGGTTGGTTTTGGGACGTAAATATAATGAGAAATAAAAAAAATGTGTATAGAAAAAAAATGGTAATATATACAGAAAAGGTATGTTAAGGGGTTATTTCAAGACGCAATTGTGATATAAAAAATAATATATAAAAAGTGAAGAAATAAGAGGGTTGGTTTCGAGTCGGAAATATGATAAAAGATAAGAGATATATAAGAAAAAAGGGAAGGTTCGTTTCGAGATACTTGCCAGTGATGAAAGATAATAAAATATAAATATGTAAGTTGTATACATACATATACATCTTCTTTTTATCTTACTTTTTTTTTATATAGTCTCTTATCATGATTATGTTTCGTGACCAACCTTCCTGCCACACATTTTTTTTATACTTTTTAAAATTTCTTTTATCTTTTGTCGTAATTGTGTTTCGAAACCAAGCCCCTAAGCCTGTGTTTTTTATTGTTTATCTTTTAAGCCTTTTTATCTTTTATCATATTTGTGTCTCGAAACAAGCTTCCAATCCTAGGCTTTTAGATATGTATATATGTATATATATGTATGTATATATGTATATATATATGTGTGCATTTATAATATACACTAAACATAATCATGATAAAAAAACGTATATAAAAAAACAAGATTAAAAAAAGAAGATAAGAAGCTTGGTCAGCAGACATAATCATGATAAAAGCCACATATAAAAAGATAAGCAAGATTTAAAAAATAAAAAAGATAAGTAGAATCATAAAAGCCACATATAAAAAGATAAGCAAGATTTAAAAAACTAAAGAAGATAAGTAGAAAAAAAATAATTTAAAAAAATAAGGAGATAGTCCCAAAGCCTCCGAGAGACGGGAAATCTCAGCATCTTCTCTGGATCACTTCACTCGACGTGAGATGATCAGCAGCATCACTTCAGAGACCCTTGGGAATGCTGCTTCTCCGGACGACCTTTAATTAGGTGTTAATTACCTCGTTATCTTCAAAGGAGGATAGGGGGAGAGAGGGAAGGAGGAGGAGGGAGGAAGAGGGAGGGAAGGAGAGATGAGATGAGAGAGGAGGAGGAGGAATGGAGGGAGGAGGAATGGAGGAGAGAGGAGAATGGAGAGAGAAAGAGGAGAAGGATAGTGGGAGACAGGAGGAGGAGGGAGGATAGGGGGAGACAGGAGGAGTAGAGAGGGAAGGAGGAGGAGGAAGGAAAGATGAGAAGGAGGAGGAGGAGGGGGGGAGAGAGAGGGAAGGAGGAAGAGGGAGGATAGGGAAGAGGGAAGGAGGAGAGGGAAGATAGAAAGGAGGAGACAGGAAAGGAGAGAGGGAAGGAGGAAGGAGGGAAGCGGGAAGAGGAGAGAGGAAATGAGAAAGGAAGGAGTAGGAGAGAGGGAAGGGGAGAGGATAGGAGAGAAGGAAGGAGAAAGAGAGGAGAGAGAGAGGAAGGAGGAGTATAATAGGTAAGGAAAGAGAGAGGGAAGGAGGAGGAGGGAGGCGAACAGGAGACGAACAGAGAAGGATAGTGAGAGAATTGGGATAGATAGGTGGGAAGATATATTGATTTTATAATAGATAGATGAAATAGGATAGTGTATAGCTGTACATTTTTATTTCAAGATTAAATGCAAAAATAACAAAACAAAAATGACACAGCATATGTATAATAAGACCATAAATAAAGATGATTCATCCGTCCTTGGCCGTTCCCACCTCATTCATCAATTTTCTCATTCCTCCATTAATTCTCTCGTGTCTCTCCCTTCCTTCGCTGACATCCTGAAGTCTGAACAACCTGGTGGAGATGCGAGAAACAGGTCTTTTTCTCAACGACCTGAGTATGCACGACCTGAGCAGGGAAATGGTGCTCTCCGGATGGCATCACTGTTCCAGGTCAGTAGGTTGCCACTGATTGTTTTTTTTGTGGATTTTTTTGGTGATGGATATATTTATAGCATATTTTGTGATGATTGTGATGATGATTTATATCTTTTTTATGAGAGGAATATAAAAATCAGCTTTACCACCTATCTTTACTCCTCAAAATACCCACACCACAGAGATTTTCCCCTAAAAAGATGAAAGATATTCTCCCACTTCCACCATTTTCCCCTAAAACCACTAGGAATTTTCCCCTACACTCCTCTAAATCCCCCCCCACTCCTCTGCAAATCCCTAGATAATCCCCCTTTCACCCCAAAGATTCCAACATCACGTCCAAATTTGCGGAAAACTCACTTCCTTTTCTCTCATTCCTCACTTCCCTTCTTTATCACTCTTTTCTCTCACTTCCCTTCTTTATCACTCTTTTCTCTCACTTCCCTTCTTTATCACTCTTTTCTCTCACTTCCCGTCTTCATCACTCTCTTTTTTTTGCTCACTCCCCTTCACTCACGTCCTCACGATTGTTGCTTTTTCGCTCCACTTCTCTTCATCATTCTCCTCCTCTCTCACTTCTCTCCTTTATCATACTCATTTCTCCTTTCCTCCGTCATCACTTTCTCTCCCTCCCCACTCCTTCCTTTATCAATCTCCTCCTTTCTATCTCTCTCCCTCCTTTATCACTCTCCTCTCCACATCCACATCCTTTATCATTCTTTTTTTTCCCACGTCCCTGCTTTATCATTCTCCCTCGCTTCCTAACCCACTCCCTTCCTTTATCAATCTACCTCCCTCTTTTCTCTTCCCTTCTTTATCATTCTCCCCACACTCCCCCTCTTCACCACTCCCTCCCTCCCCCACCCCCCTCCTTCACCACTCACCCTCCTCCCCTCACGACCCCCTTCCTTCATCACTCCCCTCCTCCCCCACCCCTCCTTCACCCTCACCTCGCCACCCCCTCCTTCACCACTCTCCTCCCTCTCCTACTACCCTCCTCCTTATCTTTCTCTTTTCTCCCACTCCCTTCTTCATTCATTCTCCTCCCCACCCCTCCTTCCCAACTGCACCCTCCCCCTTATCACTCCCCTCCCTCCCCATCCCCTTATCACTCTCCCTCCCTCCCACTCCTCCCTCCCTCTCCCACTTCCCCTCTCACGCACTCCCTCCCAACTCCCTCCCCTCACCCTCCCTCCCACTCCTCCTCCACCACTCCCCCTCCTCCCCCACTCCCCTCTCCACCACCCTCCCTCCCCACTTTTCCCTCTTCATCACCCTCCCTCCCACCACTCCCTCCTCTCACCACTCACCCTCCTTCACACACTCACCTCCTCCCCACTCCCCTCCTTCAACACTCCCTCTCCCCCTCTCTCCCCCATCACTCTCCTCCCCCCACCCCTCTTTTTATCTTCTCCTCTCTCCTACTTCTTCCTTCACCACTGCCCTCTCCCCCACACCCCCTTATCATCCACCCTCCCTCCCTCCCTCCTTCTCCCTCCCCCTCCTCACCCTCCTCCCCTCCCACCCCTCCTCCACCGCTCACCCTCCCTCCTCCTCCGCCAGACTCCAGATCATGTACAACCCGCGCCGAGAGGACTCCAACAAGCTCGAAGACGCCTACATGAAGGTCGAGGAAGCCAAGACGAGGGCGGATGATCTCCTCTACTCCATGTTGCCGCCAGGTGGCTGACATCCTCCGCCAGGGGAAGAATCCGCTGGAGACTTGTCAGGTATGTGGGGGGGTATGTGGTGTGGGGGGGGGGGGTGGGGAGGGGGAGGGGTGAGGGGGGGGGTGGGGGTGAGGGTGTGGGGAGGGGGAGGGGGTGAGGGGAAGGGAGAGGGGGTGTTATGTGGTGGGTGTGGGGGATTTGGTGGGTGTGAGGGGATGGTATGTGGTGGGTGTGGGGGATGTGGTGGGAGAGGGTGAGGGGGGTGTTATGTGGAGGGTTATGGGGGATGTGATGGGTATGGGGGATGTGGGAGAGGGGGTGTTATGTGGTGGGTGTGGGGGATGTGGGGGAGGGGAGGGGGGTGTTATGTGGTAGGTATGGGGGATGTAGTGGGTATGAGGGATGTGGGGGAGGGGGGGGTGTTATGTGGTGGGTATGTGGTGTGGGGGTGGGGGGATGTAATGTAGTGGGTGAGGGGGTGTTTTGTGGGTAGGTATGAGGGATGTGGGGGAGGGGGTGTTATGTGATGGGTATGTAGGATGTGGAGGTATGTGGTGGGTATGGGGGATGTGTTGGGTAAGGGTATGTGATGAGTATGTGGTATGTTGGGGGATGTGGCATGTTAGGGGATGTGGTGTGTATGTAGGAGTATAGGTGAAGGGGATGTGGGTATGTTGGTATGAGGAACTGGGTTTATGACAAGTATGAGCATGTTGGTATAGGGAGCTGGGTATAAGATGGGTATGGGTTATGTATCTCTATCTCTATCTATCTATCTATCTATCTATCTATCTATCTACCTATCTATATCTATGTCTATCTATGTATATATGTATATATGTATATATGTATATATTATATATATATATATATATATATATATATATATATATTATATATATATATATATATGCTGGGTATAGATATATGAGCATGTTTGTACGTAGGGTTTGTGTGTGTGTGAGAGTATGGGAAAGTGGGTATGTGGTGGGTAGAGGTCAAGAGGCATGTGGGTACGGGAACTGTGAGTGTGTGGAGCTGGGTATACAGTGCGTTGAAAAACATGTATATGTGGGCTTGGTAGGCTGGGCAGAGGTAGGTTGTGGGTCATTTGACATTTGTTGGGTGTGTGGGTATGATATTAAGAATGGTCGGTGTTATCATTATGGTATTAATTACGATAATGATTGCATTAATGGTAATAATGATAGTAGTAATTATAATAATATTATTAATAATAATGATAGTAATAATAACAGCAATAATGATAATGATGAAATAAAAGCAACAGCAATGATGATAAAGACATTAATAGTAATGATAATAAATCCACAGTAACAATATAATACATAACAATAATATCAACACAAAGTGAAATTTGCAGAGAGTAATATTGAATGGAAAAAAAATCTGTCATGAACACCACCTCTCTTTTTTCATTGCAACGTTATTGCAAATTGAAGTCAGGGAGTCAAGTCGAGTTGGGTTCGATTCTCAAAGTTGCAATATGTTGGTGTTGTTGTTTTTATTTAATGGAAGAGTCATCAGATTTTTTAAAAACCATTTATGTATTTATTTCTTATCTATATATTTTTTCATCTGGATTGTGTGTCCGGTTCTGTGTTTCTCTCTCTCTGTCTCTCTGCTTCTTTTTCTCTCTCTTTCGTTTTCTTTTCTCTCCCTCCCTTTCTTTATTTATTTACTCTTTTTCATTCTTTCTTTTTTTTACTCTCTCTTTCTCTCCCCTCTCTCTCCTTTCTCTCTCTCTCTATCCGTCCTCTTCCTTTCCTTTCCTTTCCCTCCTCTTCCTTTCCCTCTCCCTCTCCCTTCCTTCCTCCCTTCTCTCCCTTCCCTCTCTCCCTCTCGTTCTTCCATGTTCCCCTCCTCCTCTTGGTCCATTACCCGAGTGTAATTTAGAACCTGCCTCGCTCTCATCTTCAGGAGCCAACGCTTTTCTTAACAACAATGTCAGAGAGGCTGCTTACTCTGGTCCGCGTCTATGCGTAGAAAAACTCATCTAATTAAGTGCACTTGTGTGTATACCTACATGCATACATCTCTTTCTCTACATACATACATGATAAACACACAGACAACACACACGCACACACAACACACACACAACACACACACACACACACACACACACACACACACACACACATATATATATATAAATATTACCTTCCCAATGTTCCTCCCTCTCCAATTTTCCCTTCCCCAATTCTCTTTCTCCAATTTCCCTTCCCATTTTCCTCTCCTCCATTTTCCTTCCCCAATTTTCCTCCTCCATTTCTTCCTTCCAATTTTCCTCCTCCATTTTCCCTTCCCCAATTCTCCTTCTCCATTTTCCCTTCCCCAATTCTTCTTCTCCTCCTCAGGCCTTCGAGGAAGTGTCCGTTCTCTTCGCCGAAGTGTCTCTGATGGAGGACCAGGACCTCACCCACACCGTCAACCGAGTCTACCAGACGATAGATAATATAACTGACCAGTATTCCGTTTTCAAGGTAAGGGGAATGGGGAATATTAGCATTTTCATTATTGTATTGATTTTTTTTTATTATTATTTATTTATGTATTTATTGTTTCGCTTTTGTTTTCTTTTGTTTTGTTTTCTTTACCCTCCGCTTCTTCTCACCTCTCTCATCTCTCTATCCTCTCTCTCCACTCCTCTCTCTCTCTGTCACATCTCTCTTCTCTCTCTCTCATCATTCTCTCTCTCTCTCTCTCTCTCTCACATCTCATCTCTTCTCTTCTCTCTCTCTCTCTCTCTCTCTCTCTCTCTCTCTCTCTCTCTCTCTCTCTCTCTCTCTTCTTTCTCTCTCTCTCTCCCTCCTCTTTGTTTTCTTTTCTTTCCCCTCCGCTTCTCGCTTCTCTCTCTCTCATCCGCTCTCTCTCTCTCTCTCTCTCTCCTCTCTCTCTCTCGCTCTCGTCTCTCTATCTCTCTCTCACCCTCTTTTCTCTCTCTCTCTCTCTCTCTCCTCTCTCTTCTCTTCATCTCTCTCTCTCTCTCTCTCTCTCTCCTTCTCTCTTCTTTCTATATTCTTTATATAATATATATATATATTATATTTGTTATTATTTCTATTGTCTATCACCTCCACAACCAAGTACGACCGCAAGTGAAACGACTTTTTTTCCCGTTAACCAAGGCGCTAACCTATTTCGCCAGCCTATTTTACGAGTCTATGAACAAGTCTAATTTTTACACAAAAATATATTTAAAATCCTGTGTGTACAGGCCTATTTTGCCATCCCATTTCACAAGCCTATTTTAAACAAACCTAATTTCAAGACCCTATTGTAAAGCGCCTATTTTACAAGTCTATTATAAGTTCTATTTTACAGATAAATATATTTTAAAATCCTATTGTAAAGGCTATTTTTGCCATCCTATTTCACCCAAGCCTATTTTACAAATCTATTTCAACGACCCTATTGTACAAGCCTATATTTTACAAGTCTATTATACAAGTCTATTTTTACAAATCTATTTTAAAATCCTATTGCACAGGCCTATTTTGCCATCCTATTCACCAAGCTATTTTTCAAATCTATTTCAAGACCCTATTGTACAAGGCCTATTTTACAAGTCTATTATACAAGTCTATTTTACAAATCTATTTTAAAATCCTATTGCAACAGGCCTATTTTGCCATCCTATTACCACCTAGCCTATTTTACAAATCTATTTCAAGACCTATTGTACAAGCCTATTTTTACAAGTCTATTATACAAGTCTATTTTTACAAATCTATTTTAAATCCTATTGCACAGGCCTATTTTGCCATCCTATTCACCAAGCCTATTTTACAAACCTATTTCAAAATCCTATTGTACAAGCCTCTTTTGCCATTCTATTTTTTGAGCCTATTTTACAAACCTATTTCAAGACCCTATTGTACAAGCCTCTTTTGCCATTCTATTTTTTGAGCCTATTTTTACAGACCTATTTCAAAATCCTATTGACAAGCCTCTTTTGCCATTCTATTCACCAAGCCTATTTTACAAACCTATTTCAGAACCCTATTGTACATACCTCTTTTGCCATTCTATTTTTCGAGCCTATTTTACAAACCTATTGTACAAGCCTATTTTGCCATCCTATCTTACAAACCTATTTCAAAATCCTATTTTCCCAAGCCCATCTCAGGAGCCAATTTTCCCAACGCACTGGATAACATTACTTTAATAAGACCACGTTCGGATAATACGGGGGCAGGGCGGGGGTGGGGGGGTGATGGGTAACAGAGGTAAAACAAACAGGAAGAAGGTAAACACATTAGGATTATTATCATAACTCAAGACTATTTTTTTTTTTTTTACTAATGAGAGAGATCGGAGCGAATTTTCTTGGTATTTGATGATGGGATGTAAATAGATAAAAATAAATATAAATAATAAATAAATAAATAAATAAAAAATAAATAAATAAATAAAAATAAAACAGATTTGGATGTGCGAGATGTTAATGTTTTATAGATAAATTTATAGGTAGATAGGTAAGTAGGTAGTAAACAGAGAGATACATAGATAGATAGATAAGATAAATATTGTTTCTATACTAACTTCACCTAGTGGATATTACGTCTATTTCGACGTAATTTGTTAAATTGCTACTTGCCGACAGTATAATAAATAAATAAATAAATAAATACTGTATCATTCTCGTACAAACTACAAACTACATATCAGTACTTTAAGAAAAGCCAAGTTCAATTTACCTGAACTTGATTGTATGAACCAAATCGTTTATTAAACCCACACAAAATTTTCTTTGCTTATCGCCATTAGTAATGTGATGTCATAAGTATTTTTTTTTATCCTCATATTACTGAAATAACATTTTGCTAAATAGCGCTGGGCCTTGTCACTTGCCTTATACTGTGATTGAACAGAATCTTTGAACTTTCGTCACAAAGTCCCTATATTTTCTTCTCTTTCCATCACATCTTCATTCATCTCTCGTTATCTTTTCACTCTCTCCTCTCATCTACTCTTGTCCACCGTTTCAGCTGTTAAGGCATATTTATTGAAATCCAATACCTTCCATTTCCCTCCCAGGAACTGTACTGAGGATAAACACGTCTTGAAATGGGCTATATTCCAGTCTCAGGAAATTACGAACTGGCAACTCAGCCGGTCTGTAGATGAGTCCGATTCGTTCAATTTTGACTTAATTTTGTCTATTAGGAAAAATAAGGAATAAAGTGGTGCTGAAAGTAACAAATTCCAATTCATTGCAATACGAAATATTGCATATACGGTTTACACATGCAATATATCTAACATAAGCGGTTGATTAGAATTCAAAGAAAAAGACACTTAGCAAATCGGAAAAGTTCAAAGTCACAAATGAGTTGCCAATTTTTCCTTTTCTAAGAATGGGCACGATGTAGCATGAATATACCTTTCTTTAGATCACCAAAGTTAAGTTTTCATAAGTATATATAAGTTTTAATCTTGTTTATGATATCACAATTGTTATATTCTCGTTTTTTCTTTCCTTTCCATTACCTTCACGTCTCTTTTTTACGTTATCTTTTCACTTTCTCTTTTCTTTTTCTTATCTCATCCTTTTTTCTCATCTTCGTTTCATCGTTTTTTTCTCATTTTTCGCTCTATTTTTCCATTCTCTCTTTATCCTCCTTTCATCTTCTCTTCTCGTGCTCCACTTTCATCCTCTCCCAACTCTCCTACCATTCTATTCTCTCATACCCTCATTTTAACCTATCTACACCAATATATCATCCTCTTTCATTCCTCCCTCTTATCATCTCTTCTCCCCCTCCTTTCACCCTCTCCTTTCTCACCCTCTCTCTTCACCCACCTATCCTCATCCTCTTTCACCCTCTCCTCTCATTCTCCTTCCATCCACCTATCCTCCTCTTTCACCCTCTCCTCACACCCTTCTTCCACCCTCTTTCCACCCATCTACCCTCTCCTCTCACCCTCTTTCCATCCACCTTCCCTCCTCTTTCGCCCTCTCCTCTCACCTCTCCTCCACTCTCTCACCCTTTCCTCTTTCACTCTT